GAAAATAAAAATAAAAATGGAAGAGGGGTCATTTTATCAGTATAACTCAATCCAGGTAGTATTTGGAGACACTGAAATGTCTTTTATTTTCTTCTAAAGCCTTCCTTCTTACCAATTATAGCCCCATATTTTATGAGATTTGTATTTGAACATGATGAGCTTTGTATTTATTGTAGCTTTAAATGGACAGTCATTATTGACTGCCAACTTAGTCTTTAAAATCAATAGTTACATTGTATCTAATGTCAACCTTCATGATGTTTTTTAATTGATAAAGAAAACTAACTTGAAAAATGAAGAGCATTAATTCTTTATGTTATCTTTTAATTGACTTTATTTAAATATTACTGAAAAGTTTGGTTTCAGGCTTTTCCTTAACTTGCCCTTATACACACACCACACACACACACACACACACACACACACACACACACACGAGTTAAAATTGAGTCGTTGGAACATATCTACTTAGATTTCTGTCCAGGTAGGAAGAAGTACTGCCTCTATGTTTAGAAAATAAACCACTTCAGTAGTCCTTTGTAGATGTTCTGTATTATAGTTATTGTTGTTTGTTGTTATTGTTTTTTACTTGAGACTAATAATCTGTTTGCAACTGACTGAGGCAGAAAAATGTGATGTTCCTTTCCACTTACTCCAGATTTTGATAGAAGACTTGTTTTATTTATTTCCAAAATTATATCCGCAGGAAACAAGCTGTTTAAATTCAGATTATGCTGAAGCAAAATGGTCCTGGTATGAGAAGCAACGTGCTGTTTTACGAGCACAGAGTCCCTTTTCTCATAACTGATTGATAGTAAATATTTTCCTGAAGAATTATTGCCAACCATGAACAGTGCAACTGTTTCACTTTTTTTCCGTGCTACTTGCTGTACCAGCCATTGTCGGTAATTAAGATCTACAATTCACAATGCAGACGTTTGCACTTCCTCTGGGTCTGTGCTATTTATAAGGCATTTCAGCTGTTCAGAGTTTCTTTTGAGTTTTAAACTCCATGTTAACAGGCTTCTTTAATATACTGTTCCACAAGTAAGACATCAGATGGTCCATTCTTCGCACAGGCTCCTCTGTTGGGTCTAACAATTAGCTTTGTGGACAATATATTTATATTTAACCATATCACTGAGGCCAGTGTGGTTGGAAAAACCCTGGAGTGTAACCTGTTATACATTAGGCTTATCGCTAAGGCAGGAATAAAGTTGAGAAATAATATTTTTCCTTTCATCTTCAAATGTTCATATTAATTTAATGAGTGTTAATATTAGGGGTGGGTTACGGAGAGGTTCTGAGAAATGCTTAGCAGAGTGACTTTTCCAAGTTCACTTTGAAGTAATAATAGAATCAAGGGCCATTGTTATAAACAGGAGTTTGTGTGTTTGTCAGATTAAGGACACAAGAATATATAACCTTCTGGATGTGCATGATATTTAGGAATACAGACAAAGGACACCAAAATGGATCAGCAGATTGACTGCACATGTGTTGTGTAATCAGCTTTAGGAACCCTAAGTAGCCTATGCCATTGGAGAGGAAAGTATAAACAGGAATCCAGGTCTGTGTTAAAATTGGTAAAATTCAGAGTCATTTTCTACCATTTCAAGAGAGTTAATTAAAAAAAAAGTAAAAAATTCCAGACCCCAGTGAGAATCTTCATGAATTATGCCTGAGAGCCAGAGTAACTCCTTGCACAGTCTCCTTGTTACCTGCATTCATTGTTAAACATACAAGAGAAAGAAACAAGAAACTGAAGAGGGGTTGACAAAATATGTTTAAAACTTTGTGCTGAGATCAAACTTGCTGTTTTTAAGCCTGAAGTCAGCTGCATTGATTCTGCACGTTGGTCGCCAGCATCTTTCAGCAGAGCAGATCTGCAGAGAAAGGCAGTACACAGGTTTCAGTGCTGATTTCCTGATGGCCCCTTGAATACAAGAGCTTATAACAAAGCCTTTCCAAGGCAGTTTTATTTGCCAAAAACTTTCTGTAGTCCTTTTTAACTACAACCACAGTGTTCTTGTAAACTTTTTCCCTCCGTGAACTCTTTATGAACCTTTTTTTTTTTTTTTAAGATAGCAGCAGTGGTTCAACTGTTGGGAACCACTGATATATCTGACAGAGATGCTTCAAGATGCTAGAACCTATTCACATTTCTTTCTAGCCAGGAAGCTAATAAGATTGAGTTTGACTTTGTGGATTGATCTAGATTAGCATGAGATGAGCCCAGTCAGTGCCTTCTTCAGTGAACAAGGAAAGGGTGGGAGAGAGGGGTGAAGGAAGAAAGTTCTTCATCAAGAATTGACTGCAGTATTGCCTGCTGATGCATGTCAGATCACCCGCACGGAGAGATCACATGGCTTCTCCAAAAGTCAAACGATCAATTCGCCTCGTTTTGGCTCTGTACTTAATGCACAAACAGTGCGATCTGCGGGGCTGTAATTGCATTGTTAGGGCCAAGGAACAAGCCTGTGCCTTTTCAGCAGACAGCTGGCAGGGAGAGAGGCATGTTGTTAGGAAAGAGAGAGGCAAGGCAAATAAAATTACTGCTAACGCTC